TCTTATGTAATTCATTCACATGGTCTGTAATAATTTGTAAACGAATATTGGGGTAACTAGTGAAAAGGGCGGGTATTTACATGTTTGTGGGGTAAGGCAGGTAAAAACCATGCCTATAGGACTTTACATTTCACTATTTTTGGCCTTACCATGTTAGAAACCATGCCTATAGGGTTTTACTATACTTGCCTTACAATGTTAGAAATCATGTTTAGTAGGATTTTACTATACTTGCCTTACCATGTTAGAAATCATGTTTAATAGGTCTCAAAATTAGTTTCACAAATAGATGCCATACCTTAGGATATAATTTAATCCTGGTTCTGTTATAACAAGTGTTACATGTTTTCTTTCATTGGTCATCATGCCTGCAAAGTTTCTGAAATCAGTGTTAAACAACTAGATGTCATGCCTATAGGGAATAACTCTAGAAATTCTGCCTATAGATCTTAACTAGTTTAGTTAAATAAATCAACCCCAGTCCACGTTTTAGTTCATTTCGAAACTGGTTTAATTAATGGTTTATTTTCTCTAAAACAAGTTCTTTCAAAAACTGCNGGATTCAAGAGTCCGCTTTAAAAGCCTGCCTTTTTTCACTATATAAAATGTAGTCATCTGTATTCCGCGCCTAGGCAAGCCTTAGGCAACCAACTTTAAATAAGACCAGAATCGTCTTTGTGATTAATGTTTAACTGTCAACGTGTTAAAATCAGTAGGCAAGCTTAATTAGGACTTCTTCTCTGAGTCATGTAATAAATCTGTCTCTGTTATGTTTTAAAATCACTTAGATACCATGCTTTAGGATTCTGAGTTCAAATGTGGACCTTATCTGTGTATGAGCCGTGCTGTCTATGTGCATTACTTTTGGAGGTATACCTGAGCCTTCTATCTGTTTTCTGTGTTCTCTCCCCTAAATGCAGTCCTATGTGTTCTTATTTGTCGCCTAGTATTTTACCTTTAAACTTGAGGGTCTGCCTAGAACCCCCCTTTTATAGGATAGGAGTCCTAAATTCCTCGGTACTTATAGGAAGGGACGGGTAACAACATGCAATAGGGGTCAAGACCAACCCTCACTTTAATTACCTTCACGAGGCGGGAAAGGGTAGATATGGATATGATGACCGGTGCGCTAATGCCACGATAGCCCCTTTTTAAGGAGTGATTACCGAGCATTGTACTGATGTGATCCTATAGGCTAACCAACCTAGGACACTCCTTTACATTCACAATTACACTTAGATTGTACTTCCTTTCATTAACTGTTTTTTTTCAAGCATCTGTGTATTTAAACTTAAGTCCCCTACTATTTGAGTCATACTTGTTTATTTGCTAATTGTACAAATTCACACAAAACTGTCTGGCCGGAAACCACACTACTGGATCCTGAGGGGTGCCTAACACCTTCCACTTAGGATAATTTCAAGCCCTTACCCTGTCTCTGGTTATCAAACGTAGTTATAAATGAACCCTATAGGTGCCCTAACACACCATAAATCGTTAGGTGGCGACTCTTCAAAGATGCAAACCCTCTTTCCCAAAAGGAACGAGTTGTCCCAACCAAAAGGTCACAAACCCGATTTTGCGAGAGAAAGGGGGCGCGACAGCTGCGGTGCTTGGGGATTTAATGAAAATCCACAGATGTGGAGTCCTAGCCGCAGAAGCGGGACCGCAGGTGCGGTCCTGGGGGGCATATGCGGGCATCACTGGGCAGATATAGAAAATTCGAGGTTTTGAGATTTCATAACACAAAAATCGGATTGGAGCTCGGTGGGAGACGATTTTTCGAGGAATTTTAAAGGAGAATCATTGGGTAACGAATTCTAACTCGATTTTGATCATAATACTATAATCGATTGTTGTTTTCCTCTTCTAATAAAGGAAATTGAGGGTAAAAGTTTGAAAATAGGAGAAAAGTTCCCCAATTGAAAATCCGAATTTTGAGTGAGATTTTGACGTCGAATTTTGATAATTTTTCTTCGAGTGTGCTCGTGACTGATCGGGTGCTCAAAATTTGCAAATTTTACCTGATTCCGAGGTGTGGGCCCGGGGGACTTTTTGGGGAGATTTTCCTAATTTCGCATTTTAGCTTCGAATTAATTAGTTAAATTAGTTACTTTAAGTTATATTTACATTATGCAATTGATTTGATTAGATTTCGGCCACTCGGAGTTGAATACTCGTGGCAAGAGCGTAAGATCGGATTGATTTGAGCTGGTTCGAGGTATGTGGCTTGCCTAACCTTGTGTGGGGGGAAACTCCCCTTAGGATTTGGTATTATTGTTATATAAATGTCGTGTATGTGAGGTGACGAATGCGTACACGTGCTAATTGTTGGAAAACCCCATTTTCGCTAAGTAAATATCTGTGTTTCCCTTTTGTTGAACACTACTTGTATTTTAAAGCCTACTGTTTAGCTTAGGAAAGCATGCTTAAGTGACTTAACTATTCTATCTGCTTAAACTATTTACTTGAATTATGTGCACCATGTTTAGAATAGAAATCTCTGTTTTTTTGGTACGAACTTGGATAGAACCGTAGATTCTTTCTTGAGACTGTTGTGTGTTTACTTGGGGACTACGGGACGATATCCCGGGAGATCCCCAGCATGTTTACTTTGGGACTACGGATCGGTATTCCGGGAGATCCCCCTGCACATTTATATTTGGGACTACGGGACGATATCCTAGGAGATCCCCCCTGTATTGGATAATTACTTCGGGACTACGGATCGGTATTCCGGGAGATTCCCTTACATATTTATGATTTGGACTACGGGACGATATCCCGGGAGATCCTCTGCACAATTACGTTTGGGACTACGGGAAGATATCCTAGGAGATCCCTGTTGCTATCTCTATGTTCTGAGTTGTTTCTTTCTATGACTTTATTCTTTATCGATTGTTAATATCTTAATTATACTGTCACATTTCATACTGCTTTATCTGCTTTATCTGCTATATATATATATATATATATATATATATATATATATATATATATATATATATATATATATATATATATAAAACCAGTAGGGCCCTGACCTTTCCTCGTCACTACTTGACCGAGGTTAGGCTTGGCACTTACTGGGTACTGCTATGGTGTACTCATGCCCTTTCCTGCACATCTTTTTCGTGTGCAGATCCAGGTTCTTCTGCTCAGCCGTTCTATCAGTGAGGTGGGCGATATCAGAGACTTCGAGGTATATCTGCCGCGTCCACAGACCTAGAAGTCCCTCTCTATTCTCCCCTTTAGCTTTAGACTTCCTATATTTACTTTTGATTAGAAATTCTGGAGTTAGAATGCTATGTAGTTTTCTCTAGCTAGTGATTTCATGAGATTTCGGGTTTTGGGAGTTTTGATTTAGTTTTGAGAGTGTGTATTGTATATGCCGAGCGGCATTTTAAACTCTTTAATTACGTTTTACCCGCAACTTGCTAGTTTCGTATTTTATTTCCTTTTTCCGCAATTTGTTAGGCTTACCTAGTCTTAGAGACTAGGTGTCGTCACGACAGTTCACGGAGGGAGAACTTGGGTCGTGACAAGGACAGCCCCCAGTAGAAAACTGAGACAATCAAGAAAAGTAGACCACTTAGGACCCATATGTAAACCTGAAATCTTTAGTTTATTTAGATTGGGTGTTCTTTTTAGTATTTTCGCCACAACAGGAGAATAATTGAGAGCAAGTGTGTGCAAGTTATTGAATTATAGAAGGATTTTTTACCTTTTATTATTGCCAATCTGACGGTTGATTAATAGAAGGTTTTTTGAAATCTTCAATGATTTATAGTTGTGAATGAATTATAGTTGGTGTTATCCACCTCCCGCATAATCGCTTGAAAGTTAAATAGTTAGATCTTTGTGTTAAAAAATTATATGCAATAACAATCCATTTTTGGGTTTCACATTCAGGTAAGGTAATAACCCTTCTTCTCTTCGCCCTCTCTTGTTTTCTATGCCCATCATCCTTTCTTTCTCTTTCTCTTTCTCTCTCTCTTCCCCCTCCTCCCTCTCTTTTCTTTCTCCACTGCAACTGGCCGGAATCCGGTGCCGGAACTCCATTTATCTCTCTCTATCTCCCTCTCTCTCTCTCTCTCTCTCTCTCTCTCTCTCTCTCTCTCTCTCTCTCTCGCCAACTGCTTTTGTGTGGGGATTTATCGGCCGATTCCACCCAGACCAGTCAATCCGGCATAGTCCCATCACGAACCGGCGTGTGAGCTCCTGTCTAGGTGGTTTTCCGGTACGTGTTTCGTCTCCCAGTGATCAAGGCTCAAGAATGATTGGCCTAGGTTTTTCGGGTTGTCCCTTTCAGCTAGCTCGTTGAGATCCATCATCGCCAGCCAGATTTCGTTTAACTTCAAGGGCTGCAATCTAGGTTCTATTGTTCCTCTCTTGTCTGAATATTTTGATAGTTTGATACTTTAGCTTAATTATATCTCCTTGCCTGCCTATTTTTTTTCTTGAATCATTAGTTAGTATTTGCCCTAACATTGTCATATTAGTTGCATTAGCTTTGCCTACCTGTTTATATTGTTATCCACTTGTTTACATCTTTATTTTGAATCTTTATTTAATATATCCAATAGTAGTTCTGATTTAGTTTTGCACATTTTCTTTCTGACCTTTAGTTGTAGATTGTAGTCCCCTTTAGCTCTTTTATTGTATTTTCTTCACCTGTTTTCCTGACCTTTAGTTGTAGATTATAGTTCCCTTTAGTTCCTTTATTTTATTTCTTCACTTGTTTTGCGACCTTTAGTGGTAGATTATATTTCGGTTATTCATTTTGTTTTTATCGCTTGTTTTCGGATAGTGCTTGCATAGTGACTCCTAGATTATAGAGGCTTTGGTGAACGATGGTTGGGTAAGGTCTTGTCCTCGTGGGTGTCATCGCGGGGGAGGGGGTGCAGGGGGTAATAAGGTAAGAGGGCTAAGGAGCTACTAGGCTGAGAGTGGGGTCTTGGAACATAGGAACTTTGATTGAAAAATTTGTAGAGTTAGCGATGATTCTCGAGAAAAGGAAGATTAATATAGCTTGTGTACAGGAGACTAGATGGGTAGGAGATAAGGTGCGGGATGCGGACAGGTTCAAACTATGGTATACTGGGAGGCTGCGGAGCAGGAAAGGGGTAGGTATCTTAGTTGATAAGGACCTCCATGATCTAGTGGTGGAGGTTAGGATGGTGAATGACAGGTTGATGACTATTAAGCTAATTGTTGGAGGTTTTACTTTGAACATAATCAGTGCATACGCACCCCAAGAAGGCTTAGATGAGGAAGTCAAGAGGCGTTTCTGGGAGGATTTGGATGATATGGTGCGGGGTATCCCGTATACTGAGAAGCTTTTCATATAAGGAAATTTGAACGACCATATTAGAGCGACATCTGGGGGTATGATAATGTGCATGGTGGCTTTTGTTTTGGAAATAGAAACGGAGGAGGAACATCTCTGCTGGACTTTGCTAGAGCATTTGATTGGTAATAGCAAACTTGATTTCCCGTAGAAGATGGAGCACTTGGTCACCTTTCAGAGTTTGGTGGACGAGACTCAGATTGATTATCTACTCTGGAGGAAGTCTGATAGAGGTCTTTGCACGGATTGCAAGGTCATCCCGAGTGAGAACCTCTCCACCCTTTATAGGCTCCTGGTCATGGACCTTGAGATCATGAGGAAGAGGGTGGTGTATAACCAACATATGATCAAGTGGGGAGCCTTGAAGGAAGCTAAAGCGTAGGAGTTAAGGGTCAAGCTGCTAACTATGGGGGCTTAGAGGAGTAGTGGAGACGCAAGCACTATCTGGACCATGACTGTGCAGTGCATTAGGAAAGCCGCGAGAGAGGTGTTAGGGGTCTCAAAGGGTTACTCTGGTGGTCACAAGGGAGATTGGTGGTGGAATGGACAGGTGCAAGGAAAAGTGGAAGCCAAGAAAGCAGTGTATCTGAAGCTAGTGGAATGTGTGGACGAGGAGGAGAAGAGGGCGAATGAGGAGCATTATAAGTTGGCAAAGAATAAGGAGAAGTTAGCAGTTACGGCGGCCAAGACTGTAGCTTTTAGTCATTTGTATGAGGAACTCGAGGGTCGAGGTGGTGATAAAAGGTTGTTCAGGTTAGCCAAGGTACGAGAAAGGAAGGCTCGTGACTTGGACCAAGTGAAGTGCATCAAGGACGAAGAAGGTACAGTTTTGTTGGATGAGGGGCTTATCTGTCGGAGATGGCAGACCTACTTCCATTGTATCTTGAATGAGGAGGGAGACAGGAGCATTGTACTAGGTGATTTGGAACTCTCCTGCAGTCGTTGTGACTTTAGGTATTGTAGGCGGATTAGAGTTGATGAGGTTGAGGGGGCTATGCGTAAGATGAGCAGGGGCAAAGCAGCCGGGCAGGATGAAATGCTGGTACAGTTTTGGAAGAGTGCGGGCAAGGCGGGCTTGGAGTAGCTTACTAGGTTATTTAATGTCATTGTTAGAACTAAGAGGATGCCGTTAAAGTGGAGGTGGAGCATGATGGTTCCTGTATACAAGAACAAGGGTGATATCCAAAATTGCAATAACTATCAGGGTATCAAGCTGCTTAGTCATACTATGAAAGTCTGGGAAAGAGTGGTAGAGCTAAGGGTGAGGAGGAGTGTGTCTATATCTGAGAACCTGTTCGGGTTTATGCCGGGGCGTTCAACTACAGAATCCGTCCACCTTGTTAGGAGATCGATGGAGCAGTATAGGGAGAGGAAGAAGGACTTGCATATGGTGTTCATCGACTTAGAAAAAACGTACAATAAAGTCCCGAGGGAGGTTTTGTGGAGATATTTGGAGGGTATAGGTATACATGTTGCTTGTTAGGGTGATTAACGACATATATGATGGAGCAAAGACCCGAGTGAGGACGGTGGGTGGGGACTCGGACTATTTTCCGATTATAATGGGGTTTCATTAGAGGTCGGCACTCAGTCCTTTTTTATTTGCCCTGGCGATGGACGTACTGACGCGCCACATCCAAGGGAGGTATCGTGGTGCATGCTATTTGCAGATGGTATTGGATTGATTGACGAGACACGAGGCGGTTCGAATGCGCAGTTAGAGGTATGGAGGCAAATTCTGGAGTCTAAAGGTTTCAAGTTGAGCAAGACTAGATAGAATGCTTGGAGTGTAATTCCAATGGTGAGACTCATGGAGGGGAAGGGGAGGTGAGGCTGGACTCACAGGCAAGGTCATCGGAGTGGAAGTTTTAAGTACCTTGGGTTTATTATTCAGGGGGATGTGGAGATTGATGAAGATTTCACACATCATATTGAGGCAGGAAGGATGAAATGGAGACTCGCTTCTGGTGTTTTGTGTGACAAGAGTGTTGGCCAGTCAAGATCGCTCATGTCTAGAAGATGAAGGTAGCAGAGATGAGGATGTTGAGATGGATGTGCGGCACACCGGGTTACATAGGGTTAGGAATAAGGTTATTCACGACATGGTGAGTGTGACCCCTATTGAGGACAAGATGCGGGAAGTGCGGCTTAGGTAGTTTGGTCATGTGAGGAGGAGGAGGAGCATAGACGCCCCGTGAGGGGGTGTAAGAGGTTGACATTAGAGGGCCTACAAAGAGGTAGAGGTAGGCCGAAGAAGAGGTGAGGAGAGGTGATTAAGCAACATATGGGGCAGCTTCAGCTGACCGAGGACATGATCCTTGATTGGAAGGCATGGAGGTCGAGGATTAGGATAGTAGGTAGGTAGTCTAGAGTGTTCATAACAGTAGTATTGGCACGCAGTCTCCCTTTCTATTGGTAGTGGGTTTGTTTTCTTTCATTGTTGATGACCTTACTATCTTGTTGTTTTTATTCTACTTTTATATGGCTTTTTGGTGTTGTCCCTTCTTGTTTATATTTTTATTAATGTGGTCCTTATGCTTTCCTGAGCCGAGGGTCTATTGGAAACAGCTTCTCTATCCTCACATGGTAGGGATAAGGTCTGCGTACAAACTATCCTCCCCAGACCCACGGTGTGGGATAATACCGGGTATGTTGTTGTGTGCAAGTTATTGAGAATTTTTTGTTGTTCTCCAGTACCATGGCTTTCTACCTCAAGAGGATTCATCATGTGTTGCGGATCCAATATCGAGATGTCTTATCTCTGACATTGTCCAAATCTCTCGTGGGAGCTGCAAATGTTTATCTATTGATACACGAAGAATTATGATTTGTAGATTCCATAATTTGGTCAGTGAAGGAGCTTCGTGTATGTATGCAGCAACATATCTCAAATGCACAAGCCGAAGTCTCTTGCCTGAACCAAAAGCACAATGTGCATCATGTATGGTAAGAGGGAAATCACAGATCTTGAGAAGGAACAAACAAAGGGTTATCACGAGTAATATTTCGAATTTGAAAATAACAATTAACAAAATACTTCTTGATGTGTGGTATATTTAAATTATTCATTCTCCTTTCAAGTTGAAAATCATTAGCACACTTGCAAAAGTCCCTTGGAAATGAAAATTACAAATCATATCCCAGTTTCATTGGAGCAGCTTTGTTACTAAATATGAAACACTGATGCTGCAGTTTGGATTGATCCACTCATATGCAAAATCCCATCTGTATTTTGATGTCTTTTAGCTTTGTACTAGAGGTGGATGCACGTGCATGAAGCAGGAGCCCAACAACTTAATGTAGAATGTAAAAACAATACCAAATCCAAAAGACTGTTACAAAATAGGTAAAAATCGATAAACATATTACGCAACAGTCGGTTTTAATAATTAAAAAACCGACAAAAGCGAATTACCAAAATTTACAAAAAGATCTAAGCAGATCCGTAAATAAGCCGATCAATAGGAATTTAAATCGAAAGATGGAAAACGGATCTAAGCGAAGAATAACAGAGCTAAACTTATTTCCCAAAACAAGAAAATGAGAGAAATATGAACAAGATAAAGGTGGTTTCTGATGGATAACTGTTAAAATATTGGCCACAGGGAGTTGCCCCTAAAACAAAAATACTACAATAACAAGGAAATAACATTGATGCAACCAATGTGTTTGGTGAAATTCCCCAGTGAAAGGAAGGTAGTTCCAGCAAGTTTGTTAACCTCTTCTCTGTGATCAATCAGTCTCTTCGCATAGCAATGGACACTGATAACACTAATCCTCCGTAATTCTTTTGTCATACTACTCTCAACATTATATGTCCTATATATAAAAGTATATATAGTTGACTGAAAATTGTTTCACAATTAGTTGAGTTGGATTTTTTTTGAATTTAGCACAGTTGTTTACTTGAAATTTAGAATTATTTTCACAATAATTAGCTTTTACCCCGAGATTAAAGAAAAAGAATATTGAACCGAAAAAAGGATCATCTTCTTCTTTAGAGTATTATGTTGTCTAAACTCTCTGCAAAATTAATTTAGTGAAAAAGAACCTCTTGTGGCAGAAAGTGGAGAAGATTTTGAAGTATGAGCCGAGGGTCTTTCCGAAACAGCCTCTCCATCCCATCGGGGTAGAGGTAAGGTCTGCGTATACACTACCCTCACCAGACCCCACTTGTGGGACTACACTGGGTCGTTGTTGTTGTTATGTTTTACGCATTATACATAGTTTCTCAATACCAAGACAAAAGCAACTTTCACCTTAAATTGCTTTTATAGTAGTGCAAACATTTTCATTACCAGGGTGTTACTTGATCTTATATGTCACTTTGGATCTTTGACTTTTATTTTTAGTAGCATTTCGTGATACATAAATAATTATTTAGCTCTTTATAGTGTTATTATTTTTGCTCTCTATTTTCGTTAGACTTCCCCTTATTCATTATCTGGCTGCCATATACCAATATGAATTCTGCATCTTAAGTTATTTGCTATACGCATGTATCACTTTACGGCATAACTAACTTTAGGCACAACAAAAAGGGATGTAATATTCTTTAAAAGCTCTCTAGAAGTAAAAGCCTTGGACTTCTATTTATGTCTAGACGTGATGGGCACTAACGTTATTTCACTTAAGCTCAACTAATCAAATTCAGATTTTTATTCTGGAAAACTATATGCATGTTGAATTGACTATGTACTTGGATTAAATCTCATCTTGCTTTTCAATTCTTATGTATTTGGAGAAGATGTTGGTTATGGTGGCGTCTGTCGTTTCATTACTGGATTGGCAGACCAATTTGAAAATCAAAGGTTTCTAGACACTCTTTTATGTGAGCAGGTGCATGTATTTGTCATATTCTAGCTCGACTTTTCTTTTCTACGTGAAATGATTAAGCTGTAAGTCAAGAACTATCAAGTTCCTATGATCATATTAAGAAATGTGACCTAAGATTTATTTAATACATCAATCTAATTTGGTGCATAACATTATGTCCTATTT